GGGAGGGGCAGAGGGAGAGGGAGAAGCAGACTCCCCACTGAGCAGGGAGCCTGATGCAGGGCTTGATCTCAGGACTCTGAGATCATGACCTGAGCCAAAACCAGGGGTTGGACACTTAACTGACTGAGCCACCCAGGTGCCCCTGTAACACTTATTATTTAGACTGAGTACTACCATGGGGAGGGTGTAGGAAAGGAAGGAACTTCCAGAATAATTTATGGCATTGTCACTAGGTAGCTGATGCTTCCTTACTCAGAACGAGTGGGGCCACTCCTCGGATCCTGCTCCTTTGGGCTTTCTCAGGCTGACCATGATGGACCTGAGGGTGGGTTTGTTGGAGATGGAAATGCAAGAGAATTGGTGGATAAATACCTCGAGGCGGGCACAGCTCTGAAAGCATCTAACAGCATCCATCTCTTAGAGCTTCCCAGCAGAATTGGGCCCCATGGTGCAGAGCAACCTGCTCAGATCTATATCCCGTATTGGCCTCCTTCCCTTCCCTGCTTCCTTTCGATCACTATACCTCCAGGCATCGCTATTTTCCACGTACGTGCCAGTGCTTCCTAGCGGTACATCCCAAAGAAACCAACTTCCACTTACATCCCTGTCTCAGAGGTTGCTTTGGGCGTGGGGAGTAAAAACTTAATGCCGAGAAAGTAGAATGAGCACCTAAGAAACATTTATAGAGCAACTCAGCTTTTCAATAACTCTTTGTGAGGTATACTTATTTTATTAGCAATGAATGTTCTTTATAGAAGAACTAAAAATTTCGTGTACCAAAAGTTAAAAGTTTAAGTCACACAGCATCTAGAGGTGAATGTGGGGGTCAAATCATGTACTGTCTCATGTCCCTAACCATGACCCCCAGAGTCTAGTCTCAGAGCTGTGTTGTGTTCAAAAGGAGACATCCATCAATGGAGAAGCATTTAAAGTAGCACAAATTCTTTAATTGTTTTTCTTGGACTATTTAAAGGTTAATAAGTATGTGAAACATGGTAATTCACTTCTAACATACCCTTTTGTTCTGTCCGCACCTGTCAAATCCTAGAGCAGCTCCTGTACTTTTTTCTTTTTAGTAGTACAACTTCTTCTAAAACTCATACATACACA